TACTTCAGATTACTAATTTTTTTAGAGGAGTACGTCTTCAAAGATGAGTAAAATCCTTGATGTTTTCTAGCGCTTCAAGGTACTAGATAAAATTTATATTATACTGTGATTTGAAATGGTATCAAATTGACCCAGTAAGATATTAATTCAAAGCAAATAAAGCCAAAAATTTGCTTGTAATTTGATTCTAGCAGTCTGATACAGATAAAATTAAGGGATTTTCACAGGCTAATTAAAAATCTGTAAAAGGAAGCATAGACATTTAAGAAATTCTGGTTATGGAAGCTACCAGAAATATGGTACTATGTGACATTTTCAGTTGATATTTGTGACATTTAAATAAGACTCAGAGTTAGTTTGGGGTTTTTTGGCTTTTTAAAAAATATTTATACAGTCAGACATTTTGAGAAAAAGCGTCTCTACTACTGAAAAGCAGTCTCCCTGCAACTTAAGTGAGAATCTGCACACAGCAAATAAATATCCTTCACATTCTCTACTGATAAGATTACTTAGCTTGTAGGTCATTGGGAAAAGCAGCTAATGTGCTTAAGACTCTCTTATTTTATTTTTTTCTGAGTATCACCATAATTTAGGAAAAAACAAGATATACATGAGATCACTGTTGTAATGTAATGTTAGGGCTTTTCAGTTCAACTGCTATGTTTCACAAGAGACAAACAACAATGTACTCTCTTATTTAACTGATTTTATGAGTTGCTGGTTGTTATTGCAGGGGTTTTGTGTTCGGGGGTTTTGGAGGTTGTTTTTTTAACTAAGACTAACTATACTGATGAAATGAGAAGAGATTGAGAGAGAGCACAAGTTGAAATTCTTGCAAACACAACACAAAGAGAGTTAATCTAACCACCATCCTGATGCTTGGAAAGGCTGAACTATGATAATACACAGGGGACAATTACCAAGGCTCAGCTGATAAGATGTAACTCACTAAGGTGCAATAATGCAATTTCTTTCAAATATGTGCACTGAACAGGAGTGCCAGTATTAGGTCACTGAGGTTACAGAAACCCTGCCCTTCTTTGGGATGCAGTAGTATTTTTTTCTATACGTTTATTCTTTGTTGTGCAGTCTTCATCTTTATCAGGCTTATTCTGAAAGTACTTCACAGATCTTAAGACCAATCTTTTTAATTCAATGAGAAAACTCCCTCCAATATCAAGGGTGAAATAACTAAAGCCCAGATAAAAGCAATTGGTCATTCATCCGTAACAGGACTACATCTGGGGTGAAACAGAAGCTATTTTGCAGTTAACATTTCTATTCCAAACTGATCTATAGATGGAAATGCTCAACTCAAAACACAGGGGAATTTACATAGATGGAAAATAATCACGCTGACTAAAATCTGGCAAACTCCCCAGAGGTAACGCCTTTATTCAGATGAAAAATGCACAAGATTGTTTACAATTGTTCAGGATCTCAATTACATATGCTATCTAAAAGACATGTCCAACAGCTGACAGAACTCTAATCTCATGCTACTGAATAAATAATGCTCCTATACACTGGTTTTTTTTCACTATTTGAGTGAGTACGGAACTATAAATGCAAGAGCTGTTTGTAGCCTTGAGCTTTGGTTCAGTTTGTAACACTACTGTCCAAGCTGTAAACTGTGATAAGATCACACACAATTGCAGCACAGGTTTAGTTATGTCCTTATTTCAAGGTTTAAAGATGAGCTTGTAAATCACAACAGAGGACTTGGAAATTACAGACAATCCCTGTTCACATTGTTTCAAGCTGTTATGTATTTGAGATCAATACTTTCACTTGGGCTCCTTATTTGTCTGTAAGAGATCAATACAAAGGCATATGTTCTACTTCTGTAAATTTTGTTTGCCTATCTGTGCCAAAACAACATGCAACATCTGTAAATTCTGTAATAGTACTTCAGCCACATCTGTAGTATTTTGCTGTCAAGTGCCCAACAGATTCACTGGCTGAATGGCAGCTCCCAGAGGGTCGGGATCAGTGCCACAGGGTCTAGTTGGAGGCCTATCACTAGTGGTGTGACACCACATTGGGAGGTTCAGTAGTGAGCCCAGTATTATTTAACTTGTTCCTTCATGACTTGGATGGAGGGGCAGAGGTCTCCTCAGCAAGTTCAATGATACAAAGCTGGAGGAGTGGCTGATACCCCAGAGGGTCCAGCAACCCTTCAGAAGGACCTCAGCTGGCTGGAGAGAAGGGCAGAGAGGAACCTTCTAAAATTCATCAAAGACGAATGCACACAGTCCTGCACATGGGGACAAATAACCCCATGTGCCTCTAGAGGCTGGGGGCTCATCTGCTGGAAAGCAGCTCTGCAGAGAAGGACCTGGGGCTTCTGTTGGAGTACAAGCTGTCCCTGAGCCAGCAGTGCCCTTGTGGCCAAGAAGGCACATGGTATCGTGGGGTGCATTAGAAGGAGCATTGCCAGTAGGTCAGGGGAGGTAATCCTGCCCATCTACTCAGCCCTGGTGAGGCACATCTGGAGAGCCCAGTTCTGGGCTCTTCAGTATAAGAGAGACCTGAAGCTCCTGGAGCAAGTCCAGTGGAGGGCATCAAGCATGATTGAGAGACTGGAGCATCTCTCTTACAAGGAAAGGCTGAGGGAGCTGGGCCTGTTCAGCCTCGAGAAGAGAAGACTGAGAGAGTCTTTATCATTCATCTATCATCATTATCTATAGGCATCTGAAGGAGGGTGACAAGAGGATGGGGCCACGTAACACCACTTCTTCTAGGTGGTGTCAAGCAATAGGACAAGAGACAATGGGCAGAAATTGATGCACAGGAAGTTCCACCCGAACAAGAGGAAGAACTTCTTTATTGTGTGAGCACCAAACACTGGAATAGATTGCCCAGAAAGATTGTGGAGTCTCCTTCACTGGACATATTCAAGAACCATCTGGATGCAATCCTGTGCCATGAGCTCTAGGGTGACTACTAGAGCAGGGAGGTTGGACCAGATGACCAACCCACCATGGTTCCTTCCCACCCCTACCCATTCTGCAATGCTGTAATTCCTTTTTGGATTACTGAAGAAAATTTTCTTTACCTAAATAGTTGAAACCAGTATCAATGTTTGCTTTTAATCTCAGTGTGGTGGGAGGAGGCAGGAAGCCCAATGTTGTCACATCAGAACTGTAACACAAAGACACTCAATTTATCAAATCAAACTGAATTTTTGTTAGTGCTCAGAACTCAGGAACTGTCTTTATACAGTCTAAAGTTAAAGATGCATCTTTTAAAACTATGGTCAACAATTTAAAAACCTGTTTTATTCTGAAGTTTCTTCAAATTACTTTAGATGTTACCCAAAGTAACAACTGAAGAAGAGAAACCTGGATTATTTCATTCACAGTTTGTGTTTCACTAAGCAGAAGGTACTGTTTCAAAGGACATTATTTAAAATAAATACCTCTCTCCCAAGAGTGCTAAGTTATTATTTTCTGCCCCAAGTTCAGTAAGTTTAGTAAGTTATTCTTATTCTACAATGGATCAGCCATTCTTTAATAACTTGTTATTAACTGCTACTAACTTTTTAGAAATAGCTTTTTTGCTGGCTCATATTTTATAACCTTTTCATGTTCCAATCAAATAATCTATGATGTAATAGATTAAACATTACACAATAGCACTGACAGTTTTCTATTTGAAATCAGAGATAACTAATCAACCAATATTCCTTTATTAATGTGAAATGAAAAATGTGTTGCATTTTGTTTCTGAATCACAAGCAAGTACTGTATATGTGTCAATTCCAGCAGAAGTCATAAGAATACTCTATAAAAATAAAAATAACCTTCCTATCAAATAATGGCCAATTTTTAAAAGAACTTTTACATAAATCTTTCATATTACATTATCCTGTGACTTAAATAAATTGCAAACAAACATAAAATGTTGTGGTGAGCTGATTATCTGAAGTAAAATGAAGTATTTCCGTGTATTCTCTGAAATAGTTGTATTGTTACTGAAGACTTACTATTGCATTTTCAAACACAAGAATTTGAACAGATAATTCTGACCTCATGAAACACTGAGAACTTTTTTATACTTTGAGTATATTTTGCTCAAAAAACCCATATCCTTGAGATTCTCTCTATTCACCAAATGTTTTCATTAATGTGACATACAGATGTCTAAAAGTTAAATGGGCCATTATTAGCACTCTGGAATATGCAAGCAATATCTGAACTAATTGTTTAATCATACTGAATTGCCAGTGGCACCAAGAAAAAGAAAAGTTAAATGTCAGTATTTCACACTGTCAATTGAAATGAGTCCCAGATGTTAAAACACTAAGCAACCTAAACATCATTAATTTCATTTTAAACAAAATCTTTTACAAAGAAAGCTTAATCTAGTGATTCAGTCTTTTTCTTCCCCTCCCCCAGCACAACTAAACATGGAAATAACCCCTACTTAATATGTGCAGTAACTGAACTATTCAAATAGTACACAGGACCAATGTAAAGATTTTCATGTCTTCTGCCATTAAAACTCACTGGATTTAATTAAGATTTTAATGGTTTTAAAGACAATACCAAAGAATGCCTAACAAGTAAAAATGTCAGGCTTTGTTTTTCTCTAGGAAAACAAGTACTGCTTGTCATTGTTCACAATTCTTAAGTAGAAGAAAGCTTTGGTTGCTATCATTTTGTCTAAAATCAATGAAAAACAGTTTTAGGAATTTAAGCTAATACAGCCTGCCTACTCTCAAAAACATACAGGCTACTGCAAAATCCAAAGGGGACTTTTCTTCAGAAATCTGAAGAAACATAATTTAAGAATGAGTAAATTCACAATATAAACATCTGCCATTGTTTTCAGTACAACACTAATTACAACAGTTGCATATATTTTGAATGAGCAAGTTCTAGAGAATGTAGATAGACTTAGCCCCAGGAATTGTCAAGAAATATCAGAGGAGAGATTAACTGTTAAGGGACATTCAAATGAGACTTACAGATTTAAAAAGGGAAGAGATTACATACCCCTCTCCACCAGTTCTTGTTATCTTTAGACGAAAATCAACTGAGTTCAGGCTGGGTGGCTTCCATTTCAAAATATCATCACATCGACCAGGCTTGTATTTCTGAAGTAAATTAAAATGCAGTTTAATTATGCTCATTGGTTTTCACTAGTTTTAAAAGTAACAATTCAGCCTTTCAGACTCTATTAGCTGTCTCTAATGAATTACAACAGTTAGTGACTGAAACAATGAATACCATTACCATGGAGGTAGTCGTGCTTCACTACTTTATTTGTTTCTGCCTTTTAAAACTGCTTAGCACTGTAGCTCTGCCATTGCATATAATAAAAAGCTGAGAATGGAAATAAAAATTAGCATACTTCATTATCTCTCTCTGGCTAATGAAAAATTTCAAGAAAGAAAATAAGACAGCACAGAAAGAAACAAAAACACTCATAGGACATACAGAAAAGACACATCTGAAGTAATCTCAACATTTTGGAACTATTTCATGAACAATATTTTTGTTATCCATGCTGTTGGCTGACAAAACATGAAAAAGGCAGAAACCACCATACTGCCAGCTCTCATAAAGGCTCATCAGGAACATGTTCTTTCATAGCAAAGGAATTTAAGTTATGCAAAGATTAAAGAACATCATGATACACCAGAACATATATAAGAGAGCATCTCTTGCTAAAAAGAGAGGGTACACATTTGAACCACAAGCTGAAAGGAACAATTTTCTCTTAAATAAGAGCTTTAGTTTCTCATTGTCTCTGCTATCATCTGCTACCATTTTGTTCATCTTCAGCTCTCAGTAAGAGGTAACTTGTTGACACCTTCTTTACAGAATTTCTTTCATGACAATAGAGAGCATAATGAATAGGGCAAAAGTAAAATAATTTGCAGATGTATAGAATGAGAAATTCTACTTCTTTATTTATATACAGTGAGAAAAATTATGCAATTCTGTATGAAAAATAAAAGTAACCAAAAACGTCCACTGTCTTTTGGTAACAGAACAGTCATCAGCATCACACTGCACTCATGCTGTGTAAAATATTTTCAAAATACAGACTTCACTGATGATAAAACAGCTTTAGATCTAAAATGACAAAAGCAGATGAATTTTCTGTTTTCTGATGGAAGAATGTAAAGTTACTCTTTCAAAAATAAATGCACCGTGTCTTACTTATCATTTCTTGATGAAAAGATGGTCTCTTCATTAATTCTTAATGATGCAAAAAAGATGGACCAACCCCTCTAAGCCACAGCACTGTAATTCTGAGAAAAACTACATCGATGCATATAAAAACCTTCCTCACTAGAGCTCTTGCATCCTGACTCTGACAACAGCCAACAGCATGTGCTCAGGGGAGATGAAAAGCAAGGCAATTATATATGATATTTTCTACTACTACTCTTTGAGACACTATCCATGTGGAAGCTCAGAGACTTCCTGATGTGGATGTGATTCAAATGTGATTCCTTACATATTTAGTTATTTTCAGTTTCTCTGCATGAGCTCATATAGCCCCCAGTAAGACGATGTAAACCTTCATCAGCTGTAAAAGCCTGTGGCACAACCTTTCATGCACAGCCTGATTACCTTGCAGTAATAAAACCACTACCTTTTGTTTATTTTGAACAAGTTTTTGTTGTTTTTGAAGATTTGCACTTCCCAGGGATCGTACTAAGACAGATTGCTTAACAATCAAAAACCCCATTGTTTCCATGGACTCATAGTTTCATCTGCCTCTATGTGCATAGAAATGCACTCAGCTCAGAGGGTATAATTGAACATCATAGTTACAAATTTTTTATCCACTTATATTACTCTACATTTGTCTACATAAAAGTTTATGCACTTTTTATCACTCAGCCACCCAGTCTTGTAAGAGCTTACCTATAATTCTCCACAATTAGGACCAGCCCTTGCTGATCCATCACAAAAATGTCACTGAATGGTTCATCCAATTTTCCTACTTGCTTACATGCAGTACAGGTGGCTCCCTTCCCCAGGGAGGACTGAACAGCTCCCCATCCCTTCACTCCTACTTTATAACCAATTAGATATCTGTGCAAGAGCCTTTTAAGTCTCACATTACTTTAGTTTCTTCAAGTAAATTTTGACAAGAGGCTTTCTGGAAATCTCAGCAAGAAAAACCTCACAATCCTTACTTAAATGGGTTTTGTTGGAGAGGCATAACCTTCCTTCCAAAAATGTATGTACTTTTCACCAACTACATAAATCATGTTCACCCAGATACCAACTACAATATTCCTTTTTGTCTCTACTCCTTTGTCCAGTCCAGATACCAAGCTTACAGGACTTATTTCCTCCCTGATCTTCCATGACACCTGTCCCCACCTTTGTTTTTTTTAAATTGGTATTGTATTTTCTACCTTACATGCTTAGGTACTAATGTAGATTTTTCACATAGGATCTACTATCCAGTTTTTTCAAAGTCTTTTTCCTAGACTGACAAGTTATATCTTCCTAAAAGTTAGTAGGAAACCAACTTCACAACAAACAGGAACAACTATTCCAGGATCAGTAATGAAAAGCAATGTTTTGACAGAATATATCTGCATATCTGCAATTACACTGCGGGATCCACAATTTTGACTCAAGTTTAAAATTAACTGCTTGGCTTACTTGAAGGGAATGGGGGAGCATTTATTCATTAAGATGGAGTTATTTTCTTTGAGTACCAGCATAGTGTGAGACAAACCTCAGATTTTATTCTAAACATTTTATTCTACCAATAAAAAAATAATCTCTAGCACACCTCAAGTTAGTCAAAGATATCTCCCTTAGAAATCAATTACAATAACTACACCCTTTTGACTACTACATTTAGTTTTGACCACTGTCAAACAACAGCCTTCTCATTTCACAGCAATTTGTTAACACCAAACACTTGGTAAAGGTAACAGGTAAATGACAGATTTTCTTTCAGAAACAGTCACAAAGCCTTAGGTAAGCCATCAGAATTCAATGCTCGTACAAGGAATAATTTATACAGCTCCTCCCTGGCCTCCCCCAATTTCTTCTGTTACCATGAAATACAGAAATTCACAGAAACCTGACTCAAAAGGAGAATTGATTCAAAGGCCATATTAATAACCCCTAAGAAAGAGATTCATTTTTAACAGGTGAGTCCACACACACAAGACAGCACTAGTAAGTTACTGAGTTTGAATGCTAAGTCCTAAATCAATTTCTTTAAACATGAGCTGAAGCCAAACAAGAATTCTGCTTGTTAAATATATGGAAACTTCACCTTAGATGAATCACTGCATACTGCAGACCTGTTCTGCGTGAAGTTACTCTTTATTTTAATTCCAAACCAAAATGTGAAGCAATCTGTTTGAGATCAAACTACACCCTAGCATTTTAAATATAGCATTCATAGCAATGATATCCTCATCACCACTCCCCAACAAATATCTGTGTACACGACTACTTCTAAAACATACCAGATCCCCTGTCATCTCAAATACAAAGTTCATGCTTCAATCTGAAACCTGTCAACCTAGTCTAAGCACAAAAATTAAAACTCCACACCAAAAAGGTACATTGAGAAATCAAACTATCTCAAATGGCTTTAAAGGGCTGGACAAGGTGGCCTCCTGAAGTCCCTTCCAATCTACATTATTCTACAAAACAGTCTCTCTCTTTGCTTGCTTGTTCTTTTAGCAGCCATTTTGGGTGCATTTCAGTTCACAAAAACAATGAACGTTCAGAATAAATGCACCACTTGTTCCTATTTACTGTACTTTAGTTGCGATAGCTGGGCAGCTCTGGTGCACAATGGAACTAGATTCCATCAATGTAAAAGCAGATTTGAAGTTTCCCTTCATGGACACACCTAATGCCCTTCACACCAAAGTAGAGATACTGGAGGCCAAGGCAAAGGCTATTCCATTGCATTGCTACCTTGCACCTATGAAGCACAAACAAACCTGAGCTATGAAGATATCCCGCAACATCCTGAACTGCTGCTTCAAAGAAATAAGGGTATCAGTGCCTTCAGTTGGTTATGAACCCTAAGCTCTCCAATTTTTATATTTTTCTACTCGTTTTTACGTTCACTCACCATCTACCCAATATTTCTTCTATCTTTTTAGTAGTAGTAGTAGTCATCGTATAAATGCCCTATGTTCTGTAGCCATTCTCTCCTGGCAAAACCTCAGGCCCTTACTTTCATGAAGAGGATGAAGATCAGGGACAACAGATGTGTCTGAAGTAGCATCGCAAATGTGCCCCTACTATGGGGATCTTGCACTTTAGGCAAGAATACAATAATGACCCTAAAACTCAGGTGCACATCCAACGCCCTGAGATGCCGAATCATCACTGAAGACAGCTCAACAGAAAGCACATCCTCCTGCATTCCTCTTAGGCTGCTAAACCCATTGATTTCTCACCTCAGACTCAATTCCATAGGCTCAAGTGGGTCTAGTCAAACCACTATGAGGGCTTTGTTAGACCCTTGTTAGAACTGCTTTAGCACTGCAGGGCACAGTAACAGGTTGCTGGTCATGTTGAACCTTAATCCCTTGTACTGTCCCAGAGCAATAAGTCTAGTTCCCCTCTTCTTCCACAGCTGCCCAAAGAGGGGGCCATTATTTTCTTGTCTCCCATCAGATCAAGAAAAAGGCTGGCCCTCAAAGCCTCAGATTCTGTTATCTTAACTCTTGCTGACACAACTTTTCTTGTCAACTGCAGGTTTGTGATTTGCCTAAAGCCATATGTCAGCATTTGCATTCAATGGATGGCGCAGCAGAAAGCTGAAAGCCTAGACAGTGGAGATATCAGAGGCCCATAAGGATGATAAAATTTAACTCCAAATAGCAGCTTCCACATGGGATAAATGTTTCTGCTTAGTATTTTGTAGGAGGAAGAGCGGGGTTAGTTTCTGGGACTGCATTCTGGGCAGGCAGTCTGGGGTGTGGGGTGGTGTTGACTCACGATGAAGACACCCACCTTGAAGACTGAATGACTTCAGCCTAAAGTCTAGACAAAACAAACAGTTTCTCCTAGTGACTGTAAAGGAAGAGGTGGTGGGATGATCAAGAGAGAAGTTCGTGTCTCATCAAGAAAAGGAAAAGAA